CAGGGAGCAGAGGTCGCCGTCGGGAGTGAGGGCAGCATAACCGTTGGGAAGAGCATCCAGCGGGCCTGTAGCAAGCAAGACAAGGGGATTTAGAAAGTCTTGCTTTTAGATCACGGTGTTCAGCCGTTTAGGATCAGAGGGCATTGCTCTATACCAGTGATGGCGAACCTATGGCATGCGTGCCACAACTGGCACGCAGAGCCCTTTCTGTTGGGACACGAGCCATAAGTCACCAGATCGCTGCTCCCCCCTCCCCAAACAGCCAAACCTGAGAAGGTGGCTGCAGCCGCGGTGCTGGAGCTTCAGCAGGCGGATCTGGAGCAACTGGCACTGGCAGTGGATCCAGAGTGGGGTCTACAGGCACCTCTGTGCCGGGATTCCCCCTTCTGCTGCCACTTCTGGTTCCAGATCCGTGGCAGCGGCACACCACCCAGTGTTTTCCCCCACAGGCACCTCTGTGCCGGGATTTCCCCTTCTGCTGCCATTTCTGGTTCCAGATCCGCGGCAGCGGCACACCACCCAGTGTTTTCCCCCCTCCAGTTTGGGCACACGAGCCCAAAAAGGTTCGCCACCAGTGGCATAGAGAAAGTGTGTTCGGCTTGCCAGTGTATCCATGCTTAGTAGTCTCCCCTGAAGTTCCTTTACTCAAGAACTGAAACTCTTGAGATCAGAGAAAGAGTGTCCAGGAAGGGTGAAATATTTATCTGTTAGTTTATGGATATTTTTATTTCTGATGTCCATTTTGTATCCATTTGCTCTCTTATGTGGAGTTTGGCCTGTTCGTTCAATATAAAATGCAGTGGGTTGTTGCTGACAAATGATTACATGTATCACATTAGGAGATGAGCAAATGTGCGTGTGCATCAGGAATACGTCAGAAAGTTGAGAACAGTCTGTGCCTTCACAGAGACAATTTCATTATACTGTGTCATTATACTGTACATGGCCACTCTTCCTCAGAAGAACTATGAAAGCTTGTTGTTGCTTTTTTAAGCTAATCAATTTTATAGGTACTCCATGACTATTTCTGGTATACTGTAAGTACTCTCCAAAAAATCTTTCCATATTCTCATTTTTAAACAAACTGTATTTGTGGAAAATTCCCTTCATAGATGATTTGGAAGCATTATAGTTTTATGTATTTGCGAAGGCTTTCATGGCCTGGATCTAACGGTTGTTCTGGGTTTTTCGGGCTCTTTGGCCGTGTTCTGAAGGTTGTTCTTCCTAACGTTTCGCCAGTCTCTGTGGCCGGCATCTTCAGAGGACAGCACTCTATGAAGAAGAAGAAGAAGAAGAAGAAGAAGAAGAAGAAGAAGAAGAAGAAGAAGAAGAAGAAGAAGAAGAAGTAGTAGTAGTTAAGGCATTGCTAATTCACTGCATTACTTAAATCTTCCTCTCAGAAGTAGAAGAAAACAGGAGAGGGCAAGGATAGAGATTTTTCCCCCTAGTCTTTTAAAGGAACCCAGCTACATAGGGTTCCTTGAAGTACGCATGCCATTGGAGCACAAGGATCACACCAAATGGCCTACCGGACCTCTACCCTACCTTAAATGACACTATTTAGTCTGATCCCGCCTGCTTCAATTCAGCCAGTGTAGACTCTGTCACAGTAGCTTTTATGTGCTGTAAAATCAGGAATGCTCTTTTAGAGTAAATTAAATAGAAGCACCTCAAATCAAATAAAGATAGTAGTTACTAAATTTCATTAAAAGGAGCAGATATTGACTATCCTGTTTTGTGGGGTTCAATGAGAAATGCATATAATCCTGTGAATATTTATTTCTCCCCATGAACCATGAAATGTGCTCCTTAGTAGTTGTGTTTTCAATTTCAGCCTGAATCTGGCTTGTGGAAAGTATGTTAGGTTTGTACCATGGCATAATTTTTTCTGCCTGTCTCCCTTCATTTACACAACTTAAAGTGCATGGAATTATCACTAAAGAAAACATTGGCAAGGTAAAGTTAAGTAGAAAGTATAAGTCTTTGCTGTGGCGGTATTCTGCTTCTGTTTCTAATTAAATCCTCCAGGCCTTTTTAAAAGCTCTGTAAGGTGAATTGTTTCAGCAAACAGCCCTTAACATGGAAAGCCAACACCTTTGCAACAGAGAGGCACAATACAAAGCAGAATAAGTTTTCAAGCAAAGAAAGGTGGTCTTCTGCATTGTGCTCTTTTTTTTCATCCAGCCCAGCATGGGGTGTCAGAAAAATCATTAACAGACTCATCCTGCACTTTTTCCCTTTTCCACACCTGCATACCATGATCCCTGCTGCTGTAACTTTATGGACCATGAGGAGGTAGGTTTGACGCCATGAAACCCAGGGTAAGCTGACAGCTGCAGAACTGCAGACAGTAAAATGTAAAGAGGAGGAAGCAGCAGCGAGATCACCTTTGAAGTTTACAAAAAAGAATGACTTTGACCACTTCCTTTTTTAATTAGCTGTCTCAGGTACATTGAGATATTAACCACTAGGTCAGTTGTGGGAGTTGGGTAGAGGAATAGGCACAATAGACTAATTTGTAAATGTGAATGTTAAAGGTGTTTACCACAAGCTGCAGAGAATACTGAAACAAATTTTTCAGTTATAATTTTCTTGGCTAGAAGCAAATCTGTCAGTCCCACATTAATTCAATATGGAAACAGCTGTAGTAATCACATGCAAGGCAGAAAACTCATATACTGTAGTTTCTAAGGCAACAGTAATTCCCTTGAAGTGCATACATAGCATATTATTAGTTAATATGTAGTTAACATTTTTTTTTGCCAAATTCTAATCTCTCTTTATTTGGTAGTTGTGGGTTTTTCGGGCTCTTTGGCCATGTTCTGAAGGTTGTTCTTCCTAACGTTTCACCAGTGTCTGTGGCCAGCATCTTCAGAGGACAGCACTCTGAAGATGTCGTCCACAGAGACTGGTGAAACGTTAGGAAGAACAACCTTCAGAACACGGTCAAAGAGCCCGAAAAACCCACAACAACCATTAGATCCCTTTATTTGGCTTAAATTTACTCTGTAGCTGCTTATTAAAAAAAAGTAGGATGGGACTGTATTTGTAAATGTTAATACTCACTGTGTCCCAACATCTGTTTCATTTTGTATTGAACTGAATTATAAGATTTTTTTAAACTTACATTTGATGGGACTTGACTGTCATAAGTAATGTGGACAACTCGGTGACATTACTTTCTCATGTTAGCGGTGCGAGTCTGAAGACCACACACAATTTATTTTTTTCCTACTGAATATTTTTATTTAATTAAATTAAAAGTTTTTTTAAAAAATATACAAGGAAATATATCAATTCAATTAATAACAAGCAGAATAATAACCACACAAGAGTCCAGTGCGTTGAAAATACCAGCTTTCATCTCTGAGAATTCATGAAGGGCTCTTTGTAAGTCTCAGAGAGCATTTTCAAAAATACACACATCTTTAACGGAATTACACATTGTAGAGATCTCTTTCATGTTACTTTCTCACTCAGTACAAAACTGGCAGGCATGTAGAATGTAAAGATTTTTAAAATGTAATTGGGCACATACACATGTTTATTATGCTCAGAATTACTTGTGTGGTTATTTATTCATGTAACTAGAAGAAAATGTTTTAGCAAAGAATGTAATAACTAAAATATGATTGGGAACTATATAAAAACAAATGCGTCTCTGTGTAATTGTTTTCTGCAGAAGATGGGTATTTCTTTAACTTGTCTGCTGAAACTTTAAAATGCTTGAATGGCACATATGGTATTTTTGAGATGATACCTTTTTCTGAAAAGTTATTTTGCAAAAATATCACAAAGGATACATCTTTAGGTGAACATCTCCATATTTCAAAACAAGACTGAATTACAGTATTTAATAAGAAAATGACAAACTATTTTTGAAGGGCTGTGGGAGAAGCCCATGCCAATTTTGTAATAATACAAAATACACTTGTGCTTTGTACCCATGGATGCTTTGGCACAAAAAGAAAAGCTACATTCCCTCTGACAAACTGCTTCTGATCTTTGAAGGACCTTCCAGAATAGTAGACAATACAACATGGGGTCCTGCAGAGGGAGGAACCAGTGAAAATAGGAGCTGTGACTTGTATCAGTAGAAGTGTTTTCCACCTGCCTAGAAGCACCCTTGAATACAAGCTTATGCTTTAAATTTCAGTATTTAAAACATATGCCCACACTCTAAAAGATGTTCAGTAAGGAGCAAATAACTGGCTCGAGACTAGTTTCAAGTTATTGGAATGAGCTTGGGGGGATCGTTAAAGCAGTTTTAGTTTGTGAAAATGTGTGAGGGTGGGTGGAAAGTAAGGCTGAACTTTTATATATTCACTGGCAAACAGGCTTCTTGAAACACTCCATTCTCCCACACTAGCCTGCCAAAACTTTAAGACAGCTGAAGGTAGCCCTTCTCTCAGTCCTTCCACCATCAGAGTCACAAGGGGAGGGGAGGGGAGAAAGGGCCTTATCAACAGTTTCTTCCAGGTTCTAGAACTCTCTAATAAGGAGGAGGGTGCCCACCTAGTCACTCTTGTCCCAACAGCAGACAAAGACATTTCTATTTATCTTATGTTTGGCATGCAAGCTGGTCTGCTGTCCATAAGGTGGTGAGTGGCACAGTAGTATGTTGTACTTTTGATTGTTTTGTTGTATTTGCTTTTTGGTTTTAATACTAGCTTTGCATTTTAGTGTGTATTTTATAATTGCCAGCCACTTTGAGCAACTTTTTTTTTTCAGTTGAAGGTCAGTTGTGCATATTAAATAAATTAATAGGGTCTACATAGTCTGAAATGACTTTCAAAATTGTAATAAAATATTTACAGATTCCAAAGGGTAGCCATGTTGATCAGTTACAAAGCAAAGAAACAGGGAGAAGAAAGAAAGGCTCCTATATCTATGAGTGTCTCTGCTATCAGTTTGAGGCTTTCTTCCTCCCACCATAAGGATGTTTTTTTTTAAAAAAAAAAAAAACTCATCGGAGATGTTCTCCCATTTCCTCTCCACAGTTGCTTTCTTGGCTTTCTGAAGTGCAGAAGAGGCTTGGGGAGCCATCCAAAACTCAGCAGGTGGTGACATCTTCAGCTAATCTTCATCAGGTTTGCATCTTCCCACTCCCACCTCTCCATCTCCAAAGCAGGGAGGTTATTTGTGTGAAGGAGGAGAGAGGGAGGGTTCCTTCTTGTATTTGTTCTCTGTCTGGAAGAGAAGCCAGTGCCTTTAGAGTAAATGAAGGAGAATTTCTAAAGACTGAAGATCAAACTGAGATTTGAAGGAGGAGAAAGGGAAACATGCTGTCTTTGTTGTGATGATAATAATGAAGCTAGATAGAAGGAGCCTACACAATGGGGCTAGGCTACTGTGCCATCAACTGCTTCCTGCTAGAGAGATTCACAGGTCTTCTTCACTGTAGGATGATTAGAGAACTACAAAGTCAAGGGGAGTGGCAGGTTTCACTCTCTTATCTGGAACCCATCTGAATTAGGACTTCTCAGACTAGCTGTTATATGTTGCCTCTGGTCTCAGTACAGTAAATGAATTTTTTTCTTTCACTAAGAAGGACCTGAAATGGTGTGAAACAGAGTCTATAGCACTAGCACTGATGTGAATGGAAAATTTAAGTATTTCTGCATATAATTAAATCAGGATGCAATAACTGCTGTTGAGGTTCCCTAAATTCAAGATGCCACCCATCTGCTTTCAAAGAAAGTCAAGGCTCAGTTAATTTTAGGAAAGCTTGTTTCATAGGGTAGCCTTTACCATTCAGATGCTTATCAGACAAGAAACAAAACAAAAGCAAAAACAAATAAATAGAGAAGACAAAAACATTATGGCACCTTAAAGACTAACTGTTATATTTTAATGCGAGTGTTCATGGGCACAGTCCACTTCTACTTCTTTCACCAAAAGTGAGCTTAAACATTCAGATGATCATCGTGATCTTAGAACTCCAGAGCATCAAGTCCTGCCTGCCCCTATGAAGGAGGCACTGTGGGGAATTGAACTCCCAGCCTCTAGCTCTGGAATTAGATACCTAAACCACTGAACTATCCAGCAGTTCTGGCTTCTAAGTCTGTGTCAACACTATCCCTATTTCAAAACAAATCCCATTTTACTTAAGGGCACAAGACTTCTCAAAAGGTGCAATCAAACTTCCTAATTAAATATGCAGATAGAAAGCAGTCTGTCGTTTATGACTATTGTTATTATGTATGGTCAAATAACCTCTGACCTATGAATGAATGACCTCCAGATCTTCTGTCTTCAACAGCTTGCTCAATTCTTGTAAACTCAAGTCAATGGTTTCCTTTATGAAATCCATCCATATTTTGACTTCCTCTTCTCCTTCTGCTTTAGGACTATTAATTGTGACTTGGCAACCTTCTTCTGTATGTCCTTTGAAAAATATTCTAATTTAATTACATGCAAAGATCTGCCAAAAAATTAAACTCAAATACATTTTTTTCTATATAAGTCTGCTGGTCATAGGAATAGATTAATTGTGCTGATACATATAATTTCCTACATATAATCTCAATATATTTCAGTGATTTCAGGTTGAAGGGACCAGTCAGTGTTTTCTCATCTTATTCTAAAATCCTTACTTGATTTGGAAACAGCAGAATAAGTTCATTTTAAAAATTGAGAATATATCAGATGCTTTGCTTTGGACAATTTTTCTCAATGAACTCTAACGAACCTGATAATGAGCTTGCGACTTTTAAAATCATGCATTTAATAAGGACACAATAATAATTTGGGATGGGTCTGAAGAGTTCTTGCCTTGTAATATAAATTAATTGGAAATAAACCTTCACAAACAAATAATACCACACACCTGCCTTTAGATTAGGCATTCTTCAATCTTGAGAGACTATGGAAACGTGGAACAGTTACCATAGTGTGACTGAGAAGGCCAATACGAGAGTGACAATCCCTTCCACAATGAAGACAAATGCAATCTGTCCCCTGTCCAGCTTCCTGATTTTGCTGCTTTCGGGATTGCCTCTTTGCCTCGGCCTGCTGAACAAGGGTCTCTTCAAAATGGGAGGTGGCTGTGCTGCACCACTTGCCTTCAAACTGAACGTGGCCGTGCTGCACCACTTGCCTTCAAACTGAACGCTCGGATGTCAGGGTTTCCCATCTGTTGAGGTCCATTCCTAAGACCTTCAGATCCTACTTCCAGATATCCTTGTATCGCAGCCTTTATGATATTGCAATTCAGACAAATAGTCCTGTAAAATGTACCAGAACAAATCTGCTGGTGGTCATTTGTTAAAATGTAGTGTTTAGAGGAGGCTGAGATAGTGGCCTATTTTAATGCAACCCATTTCACCCAAATCCTCTTTCATTAATGAGCCCCTGATATGACACATTTGTTTTATATTGGTCATTTTGAACAAATAGTTATCTTACCTCCTTGGACTTATTTTATGATAACAAGAAAAAATATTCAGACAGGCAGGAGGAACAGTAGTAGTAATAATGAAATTATAAAAATACATTTTATATAAGAGTTGATACTGTATAAAAATTTCATGTGGTTGATTTTCATGGCCTTTAGGAAGATGCTGTTTTTTGCCAGCATGCTTAGTGCCCAGCTAGAAAAAGTTTGATTCTTAATGGAAGCTGAAAATGTAGCTGAGGATGTGATGGAAAAACCATACCACAACGGAGTGGCAAGAGATACTGTCCATGAATATTTTTAGTTAATTTATTTTGAATGAACCCCACCGCCAAAAGTGTTTTCACTGTTTGTTCAGAGAACTAGACTTGGCCTCTAGTTAAAGGCGCAAAGATTAAATCCGATTGTTAATCCTAACTCAAGTGAACTCATTAAGTCCATTGGATTTATAAATGGATTAATTTACCAAAATTCCATTGATTCAGTGGTTCGGCTCTTAACTGAGGCTCCCTGTTGTATTGCCCAAAAGCTTGCAAATACAGACCATGTCAAACCGCAGAAGCCTGTGCTGCAAGGTCAGAAGACCAAGCAGTCGTATGATCGAATCCACGCAATGGAGTGAGTGCCCGTCGCTTGTCCGAGCAACCGCCAACCTAGCGGTTCGAAAGCATGCAAATGCGAGTAGATAAATAGGGACCACCTCGGTAGGAAGGTAACAGCGTTCCGTGTTTAAGTCGCACTGGCCATGTGACCACGGAAGATTGTCTTCGGACAAACGCTGGCTCTATGGCTTGGAAACAGGGATGAGCACTGCCCCCTAGAGTGGAACACGACTGGACAAAAAATTGTCAAGGGGAACCTTTACCTTTACCTACCAGGGATGGGAGCTTGAGTTGCAAGACTTGCTGTCAAGTCAGACTTAAGTTGCACCGGCAACTCAACTCAGACATGACTCACAGGTTTTTCCCCCCTATGACTCAGACTCGACTTGTGACTCAGAACCCACCCTCTCCTCCCTTCTTTTTTGGGGTAAAAAGCTTGTTTTTAACAAGGACTCAGATTTGGGGCCTTTGACTTGACACTTGGTATCAAAGACTCCCACTCAGACTTGGTACTTGGTACCACAGACTCGTACTTGGATCCAAAGACTTGCCATCCTCCTTGATGTCTACTACTGTGACTACAGATGAAGGAAGTATTGAGTGGAATAACAGGCTGCATCTCTACCATGCTGCTTGCAAAGGGTTTTCTCTAAGAGCTGTGACCTCCCTGGAACCCAGGGGCATCCCTATAAGCTTCGTTTCTTGAAGGCAATAATATTGTCAGTTATTGATAATAATAATATGTTAAAGTCAAAGTTAATCATACTTAGAGTAGATCCATTGAAATGAAAGGAACTTACATGAAATAATGTTCTTTTCACAAAAAATGAATTCCCGTTTATTTTAATGTAACTACTCCAAGTATGGGCAACTTTGGGTTTAATCTTATGTGTCTCTCAAATTGGAGCCACTGCCAATATTCTCATTCGTATAGTATTTGGCAATACTTGTAAATACTTTTAACAAGCACATTATTTATCACAGAGCTGATTCAGTTATATCATTGCATAGCTTCCTGGCCTGGTTTATGTGAAACCATTGTATTTGAATTGGCCAGGGCAGCCCAAAGTAATTTGCTACCTGAAGGAGAACATCAGATGATTCCCCCTCAGCTCACACGGATCAGAGTGTACAATAGCCAAAGGTAGCCAAGTGATTTTGGCTAGAATGGATTGACCTCGCTATGCGAGGCACCACTGTATTTGAATTGGCCAGGGGCAGCCCAAAGTAATTTGCTACTGAAGGAGAACATCAGATGATTCCCCCTCAGCTCACACGGATCAGAGTGTACAATAGCCAAAGGTAGCCAAGTGATTTTGGCACATCAGGCAGAAGATCCTGCATATATCGATCTTTTCTCATCCATGGTAGAAAAACACAAACTAAATAACAGTTTGGTGCCCTTTCATGGCACCTGCTGTCTGAGGCAATTGTCTTGCCTGGTCTAATGGTAGGGCTACCCCAGAACTAGCAAACTGTATTTCTTCTTCTCCTGCCAACCAGGATTCAGCTTTAAACTTTAAAGAAGTCCTTTCTTTATCACTGTATAAACTGGAAGGCTCCGGCTGGATTTGTTTTGAAAGTCAGCTATGAAATCATTATGGGCAAGCAAGGATCACTCTAAAGTGCATGGCTGTGCGCTGGCAAGACTCCAACAACCTCCACATAGCTTTCCAGCTCCTCCACACTGCCCGTTTGGTTCTGGTTGCAGGAACCCCACATGCAGGGGGGTGGTGGAGTCATGCTTGCATGCAGGGGAGAAGGCACAAGAGAGAGAGAGAGAGAGAGAGACAGAGAGAGACCCACTCAGTGGGGCTGATAATTAGAGGGTATGTTGTGGGCATACAGATCATGTCATTATGGAACAGCTTCATGAAGAAAGTTCCTAGGAATTTCACATAATGTTCATCAAGTGATGCTAGGGCTCTAAAAACCAATGTGCAGATAGATGCCAACTTCTTCTTTTTTTTTAAATTTACAGAACAAAACATACAAAAGACAAGTAAAAAGTGAACAGCATCTTCACCGTTTGCATCATATGTATTACTTCTCTCTTGTGAGTGCAGCATTATCTAAGAGGTAGGTTGTAGTGTAAACAAACTGCATAATAACATTTAGAGACAATTGTGTGTTTTCTTTAGTTGTTTATTGTGCAGGTTTGCCAAGGTTTTTACAATGTGATACACAAAGCAGACTTCCTAGCCTGTTACACTGTACCAGCTACACTACACAAGCCAGATCAAGCCACTGGAAGAAGAATGGGGAATGTATGGATCTGCACAAGTGAAAAACACAATTTTCACTGTTCCTATAGAACAGCTAGGATGCTTCACGAGAAAGGAAGAGTGGGTTTACTGCAATATATGGCAATCAGCACCATCCACCATCCCAAAATTTAGCTGTTTTGTTGAATCAATAATTCAATATTTATTGTTATAATTTACAGACTGAGTAACTGTCTCAAATAATTCTCATTCAGTCCAAGTAGCTGAGCAATTCCCAGACTTCTTGGCATCATGTTCCTGTTTCACATTTTTAAAAAATTGTCATGCTTCCTCATCTCTCCTCTCCCATCAACAAGACCCTTTTTAAAAATCATAATTTGAAATTAAAAACAAAAACAAAAGTTTTATTGAAAAATTATTTTAAACTAAAATAATTACAAACAGTTTTTCTTCTCAGAAGAAGTGAATAAAATGTCATCTATCTATTTAAGAAGTAGCAGGAAGAAAACAAGTGTAATGTGAAGAGTTGTACATTGTCAAGTGTCACCAAAGAATCTTGATTATTATAATATTTTTCTTAATAAGAATCTCATAGCCTCATCTTGGGAATTATGTCATTTCCCTGTACAGGTATATTGCCCTAGTTTTACAGCCAATTAAGTGAACAGTAAAATAACAAAACAAATCCAATAACAAATTTGCAAGGACATCAAACCTATCACATCAGTCCTGCTGAAGAGTAGCCAAGGAAGCAACCTGCTTAGGATGCAAAGAGGTTGCCTGTTTAGTTGCTGCTCAGCTTTAAGAAAAGTTCCTGCCTTCATTCCTTGGTCCAGACAAGCAGTCTTGCAAAGGAACTCGGGGCTCTGAGCATCTCAGCAATAGCGTAGCTGAGCAATACAGTGGGGTCTCTACTTAAGAACGTCCCTACTTAAGAACAATTCCACTTAAGAACAGCTCCATTTGCTAAATTTTGCTTCTACTTGAGAACAAAAATCCAGATAAGAGCAGGAAAAAAAAACTTTCCTGCTCTTTTTTTAACCTTAGGTCATCTTAGGTTAAAAAAAGTTCTCCCCCTAGTGGTAGAGTACGTATTAACCAGTATTGCATTAGTTCCTATGGGAACTAATGCTTCAATGTACGAACGCACCTCTACATAAAAAAAACAGCCAGAACGGATTAATTGGTTTTCAGTCCATTGCTTCAAAATTAGCTTCGTCAGAAGTGCTTTTAACACTGTTCCCTGACCTAAGGGGAAAAAAAGAAAAAAATCCCCCTCTAGTGGTAGAAGGCGGAATAGCAGCTTCCCATTAGTTTCTATGGACAGAAAAGAGCAGATACGGATTAAATGGTTTTCAATACATTCCTATGGGAAATGCAGATTCGACTTAAGAACTTTTCGACTTGAGAACCACCTTCCAATACGGATTAAGTTCTTAAGTAGAGACCTCACTGTATCCAGTCCTTTGCCCTTCACTAGAGCTGGCTGTGATGATGAGCCCAACTCCTGGAAATATCCATGTTCAACTCTGCTGCTCCAGAGTTAGGAGGAAGGCTGGGCCTCACCATTTTATGCAGAGGCAAAATAAAGGAGCTTGCCATGCTAGCTAGACAGTAACCATGGTGAGCACAGTAAACAAAAACAGAGCACACATTGAACTCATAGTAAAAAGCATTTGATGCATTTTTCAGTGAAAAGATTATAGCAAAGTTGTGATTAGTGCTGCTAACTGTGTGCAGTGGCATAAACTGCTGCAGCAAATGGCTCCTAGTTAATTTCTATTTCTTTTAACATACGTATGTGTGTGTTAGTGCACTGTGAAGAAGTCAAACGGCAGCTGATTAACTAGCAGCAGTTCACTACTGCAATATCTACTTTTTACTTAACACTATGATGACATAAATAGCCTGTAGGATCAAGCCATTGAATCATAGACTTGTAAAGGTGGAAGGGACTCCCAGGAGCCATTGACTGAAATTAAGGATGCGCATCTGCACCAAAATTCAGATTCAAAATTTTAAAAATTTTGAATTTGCAGACATCCAGAACTCCTTTATAGTCAATATGAATCTTAAATAGCTATTTTCCCCTCTTCAAAACACGATCAGGCAAAACATTTTAATAGGATTTCCCTTCTCCTCCGGCATCTTGAAATTAAGCTCTACGATGGGCAGTTGAGAACTAAACAACACATTTAATCTGGAGGAGAGAAGACTGGGAGTTGATACAATACCTTTCCTCAAATGTTTGAAGAATGGCCACATGGGAACTTATTTACTTTTGCTTCAGAGGGTAGGACCTGAACTGATGGGGTCAAATTGCACGAAAGGAAATTCCAAATAAACTTTAGGAAAACCTTATAGTAAATCAGGTAAAATCCAAAGAATAATAATAAAAAAGACAAAAACATGTGGCACCTTAAATACTATTATATTTTAATGTGAGCTTTTGTGAACATGTCCACTTCGTCAGACATATAGAAACAGAATGAAATGTTGAATGAAATATCAGTTGCATACTAAATATTCATTGGTTCTTGGATGCATGTTTTGGAGGGGTTTGGGAGGGTTTTAAACAGAGATTGGATGTTCATCTGTCAAGAATGTATTAGCTCTGGATTTCCTGCAGTCAGCAAGATGTTGGATTCAATAACCTGTGTGTTCTTTCCATCTCTGCCATTTTGTGATTCTGTTATATGCAATGAAGAGTAATTCTCTGGCTATCTTACCAGCATGGCAAGATATGTAGACAGCACAGCAACATGAAAATAGTTAGAATAGAGTTTGTGCTGTATTTAAGAAGCTGCAAAGTAAATTTGCTTTCTAAATTAGATTTTCTTTGTTTGATGCTATCTGAATTAGGCTACTAGAGCAAAATGGTCAATTTTCAGACATCAGAAGAGAAGACTATGTTCATGATCTGGTCAGTAGTCACTACTATCTCTCCATAGTTGTATATACTTAAATGTTTCTCAGGAATGTTGTTTTTGATAATCATGAACATATTTTAAAAAGCCTTTACTTCTATTTACTTCTATTTTGGTATTTTATGTTATGCCCTTTGATTAAACACTTAAAATTTTGATTATATACTGAATTTTCAGAAATAATTTCCAAAGACCAAATGAAAGTGTTTGCCTCAAATCCTGATGGGCATGCTTCATATCTAAGATTTGATAATTATTTTCATCTACATATCCTCCTTTATACTCCTTGGCATAACCAGGGAGTACTGCTGTTTTGCTATGGGTGCATATGGTGCCTGGGAAGCCTTCATATAAAATCACTTATTCAGCACAGCAACTGAGGCAGAAGATCTCTAGTTTTGAAAGAGTTTTATGGAAAATGCCAAGACATAAATAAGAAAGTGTTATTGCATTTAAATGGGGAATATTCTGATAAATCTCTTGACACTTCAAGAATTGGGGGGGGGGCTTCAGACAATGGCTGAAATCTTGTTATTCAACACAATAAGTCACACTAGAGTAGGCCCACTGAATCAGTGGAGATTTTGAGAGTCTACTTCTTAATAGGTTCCATTGATTCAAATGGGCCTACTTTATTTTGCAACTTACTGTGCTAAAGTAAGTCACAGAGGGCCCACTATAGTATGACTTACTATGCTAAGCAACAAGATTTCAGCAGTTGTTAGATTACAGCTCCCATAAACTCCAACCAGCATGGCCAATGCTGAAGGATGATGAGACTTGCAATCCAACAGGTTCTAGAGAGCTACACGTTCTCAGTCTCTGTCCTAAACCCCATGTATGTCCACTTAAATGCTAAATATTACACAAGGCTAATTTAGTGTGTTATATGTAATGCAATCAGAATGTGAAAACATTACTTTTTGGATTACAATTTGTACAATTCCCCAGCTAGTGATTCTGGGAGTTGTTGTTCAAAAAGTAACTTCTGAGGTGCTGAGCACAGTTTTACTTCATCCACTTTGAATACATCCTAATCGTATCTTTTTCATTTTGTCTTTTTAATCCTACCATCACTTGCCACTAAATGTTTAACACTTAAGAAACAGTTGCTGTTTTTTTTTTAAAAAAATATTACACTAATGCTTGTTTTCATGATCTGAAGGTTGAATATTTATTTCCAAATGAGCACGAAAGATCTGTAAGGAATCAAACCAAAAAGATAGTAGATGAAAAGAGAACCCCAGCTTCCGTAGGTATAAAGCAGCTGGAAATGAAGCATATGGTATCCACCAAAATACTGGGAGTTCCAAAAGAAAAGAAGATGATGAACCAAGAGAGTGATCTTGTTGAAATGTAAAGATTCTTTGTTTTCATTCTACATACTGCATGAGCACGTATTAGTGGAGTGACTTGATGTTTTCTTGACATAATTAAGATTAGAAAGAATGAGTTGTTGATCAGTACTGTACTTCATAAGGTTTCATGCATACAAATGTAAGCTAGCAGGTAATCTTCATTGGGGAAGATGCAGACCTTCATATCCTGGCGATTGTTTCTAAATTTGAATAAAATAACATACACATACACTAAGGATATTTGATTTGAAATGTATATAACATTTGTATTCAAACAAAAATATACTGAAATAAGAAAGGAGGTCTTTTAATAATATGCTGCCTAAGAATTGTCACACAGTGCATGCTAGAAGTTCTAAAACTTCCTGATTCTGAGTGTCTCCAATGTTCATTTATATAATTTGACTTCATGAAAAATAAGCTCCATTTGTCATTTGGAAAATGTATGTAACATGATGTGCAAGAACAGGATTTCTAGAACACAAAATCCCTGTACCACTGCTGCATCATTTTGTATCCTAATGAATGGATAATGTATTTAAAGGGTGTTGCGATTTCTGTTAATGGTGCTGAAGTTGTTTCTTATGTGCCTTATAGAGCTGAAGAGGAAAAATGCAACACCACTACCTTTGGCCAGCATGAAATGATTCCTGTCCCTTTAACTCTGGAAGATGTTGCTCTCTACAGTCCAGTTGTTGTATGTTCATTTGTAATTATTTTTCTTTCTTCTCTTTTCCAATCCCATTGCACATTATTCTGTTAGTAGTTCTTCATAGGCCTGCGTGTAGCATTTCTTAACTCATGGACTAAGAGTGAGACTGCACAATGAGAAAAATACAAATTGATTCACTGTGAATTTGCACCAGGGAACTGTTTCCCTGGGTGAATTTACTTTAGCTGACCAGACAGGAGATAGCAGAAAGAGGGGAGGAAATTGGCAATCAACACTTGTTTGTAGCTTATTAAGAAAACTTATACTGTAGCCTTCAAGATTTGTAGGATGCATGGCTACAGCAGAGCTACATTAATAAGCTGCAAACAAATGCAGATTTGTAATTTCCTCCTTTCTCTTATTTTTTTATTTTTTTCTCCTAAGTGTTGTAGCACATTTTGTTGCAACACTGGCACCAAACTTTTTTTTTAAAGAAAAGAAACAAAACAGCATTTTAGCAAAGATCCAAAGTCTTCTTGGTGGTCTCATAAGACATTTAAAGCACAGTCTTGTACATGTCTAATCAACACTCTGCCCCTTGGAGTTCAATTAGACTTACTTATTAGGGAAGCATGTATTGCAGCATTACCTGTTGGAGGTAATTGTTTACAGTGAATTCTGACACCAGGATGGCTGTAAAGACACAGAAAAGGGAAACTGTCCCAATGCTTTGTCATTCAGCTTACTTAAAGGGGTGCTTGGTTGAGACTTAAGGGGAATATATCTCTTCCCATCCTACCAACCACCAACATTCCTGCACACGTTTTTCTGCATCAAGCAATCACACCATCTGAACCAATGTGAATGCATATGCTACAAAAAAACAAAGCCCTAATGGTGCTGTGAAAATTCAAGTGTGTGGGGGGATAATTCTGGGCTGATGTTCATTGACTTGTATGTTGCATTGTCAACAGAAAATAGTACAAATCTTACAGACCCAACCCTGGAGCAATAAGTCAGTGTGATTGCCCCGCTAAATCCCTCTTCTAGATGCCCACCCTCAGGCTCCAGCAGAATGTGATTCTCTTGAGAACATTTTTTAAAGGTAGATATTGGGACATAAATAGACAGAATGGAAAATATGTTAAATGAAAAAGTAAAAAGTAGCTAAAAATTTCTATGGAGTACAATCTGTTAGTCCAGAATCCTTAGCATATGCTGAACTAGTGAATTGTTAATGGGAAAACTTTTTGGTGTAAGAAAGTTCATGCCTATTTTTCAGCAAGTTCCTCAGCAATTTTGCCAAGGAAAATTTATTCCTGCCCCTAGCAGAGAAAGTTGACTTTTCAAGGTTTGGATTAGTCTGAGGACCTTTTGCAATTCTGCAATTGATCAAGGTCATCAGAGAAGAAACTTATTGGAAATAATGCTTTTTAATGCCCCTCAACATCATTGGTGTTTCTTGCTTAAAAAGACAGAATACTGTAGACTTGTTTTTGTATATTTTGCCCACTACCACTTTGATTTATACAGGGCCACTGTGTAGTTAATGACAGGCAATATGAATTAATTAGTCATTGATAACGGATACCATTTTGTAGGAGCTGTCATTTAGGCGTAATCCTGCGGCCCCTGGGAGACGCTGAGGTTGCAAGGTTTTTCAAATCTTTGCTTCCAGAAGGGAGGGGGGCCTGCCACACCCATTGGGAGACCCAGCCTGAGAAGTCTGCAACATTGTAGAAATGAGTGAAACCAGTGCATTTTTGGCATCAAAAAGCGGGAAGAAAAAAGAAGTGTATAATGTGTTTATTAAGAGAGATTATGAGGATCTTCCCCAGGTCAGGGAATAAGCTATGCCAGCCCTGCAGTGAGCACAGTTAATTTCCTTCCCTTTGAAATCAACAGAAGGGAAACAAAGAAAAGAAGGAAAGATTTTGGCCAAATAAAAAGGACTTCTCATGAACATGCTTTGTGTTCTGCTGGTGCATTGGAAAAGATATTTCCCCTGTGGTGGGTCCTTTCTTTTCCTGCCCCATAGGATCATTGTGTGTGAAATCTTACATCAGAGACAGAAAATAATTACTTGTAAATTAGAACATGGATTTTCAGCAACCAGTTACATAGCCAGTGAATCTTACAGATGTTGCCATTGTCAGCTATTGCTCCAACTATTCATCCACAATATAGTCATTTTTTCAGAATTCGGAATGTTAGCTTTAACATTTTTAGTTAAAGATGTATATTAGAAATTGGAAATTAATTTATTGCTGTTAATATTTAAACCTGAAAATGTTTCACTGATTGAATCGTACTATTAACAAAGTAGTTAAAAAAAGAGTCTTACAGTCTTTACAGAGCACACACATTACTCCCCAAAGGGCTAAAGTCCTGTTACATTTGTACTAGATGGCATAATCTTGAATTACTCCTGGGAAATGGAAAATGTGGACTGACATGTCCCTTCTATAGAGGAGCACACTCAAAATATTGTTTTAAACATTAGATTAAATTTAAATTTTTCTTAGTTTTCTTAATTTTAACACATTATTTCAAGCTGTGCTAATTTATCACTTGTTAAATAATACTCTATGTAAAGCTAGTTTTTATATGGTTATTTTTAGGAATCCAAGTCCTCAGGCAACTACTGGATAAACTACACAGACAACGATTTTATCAGCAACAATGAAAAATATTAACCACTGTGACAAACCCAGACCTACTGGGATATGTCACACAGTTACACTAAGCTGCCACCAACCATTCCCTACAAGAAGTCACACAGACCAGGGATGGATTTTTAAACACTAAAAAGAATAAGGTTTATTTAAATACACACAGGGAAAAATAAACAATCAGGTGAATAAAATAAAGTAACGTGGCTTATTCTCACTCATACAAGCATACAGTTTGGTTCACCCAGAACCTTAACTTAAAGCACAGACCCTGAACCTATCAGTTCTGGCTACCCAACAGACACCTGAACCTATCAGGTTGGTACTCTGACACACAGTAGTACCCTGTCTGACACACAGACTCCCACACCAACTCCTTCTTCCCAGCTGCTGCTTCGTCTGCTTCCCAGTGTCACACAGTGTCTCATAGCTTCTGAACTTCACCACACAGGCATCACCTTTATATACAGTACAGCCCCTCCTCCTGATGTCCCGCCTTCCACTCCCCGTAGGATGGAACTTTCCCTCCAAACCCATGACAGACAGGTAACATCAGTGCTGTATGTAACAACCACAAATGCCACTCTGAAGATATTAGAACGTTTACTATGATTAGTGTTGCTGACTGTGAGAATGAGCAAAAGAATGTATGAAATCCCACCATTCTTCTCTTTCTCAACTATCCCTTCCTTTAATTAAAATAGAACATTGTTTCTAAAAGATTACCATGTAATATTTATCGACATACTTTTTGATTTGTTAATATGTTTAACAATGTTTTTCTAAAAATAATGTATATACATTATCTTCTCTCTTCTTATGACTAGTTTCATTGCTACACACAGAGGACTCTGTTGTTCCTCAAAACAGCTAATCATCCTTTAATACTGTCTTTTTATACCTTTAATAAACCAGTTTCTAATTCCAAAATATTTTCATGGGTGAAGATTAATTACTGCCTCGCAATGAGTTTTGTTCTGGCCCTGCTCCTTTCCACTTTCCCCTTTCTCGCCAGCATCCACATAGACGGAAGGCTCTGCCCCAGAAGGTATCTGAGCAGTTATAGTCTTGCCTTCACTACCACACCAGTCCTGAAGGCACAGACATGCAACACCAGGGTTACTGGAGCACATACCCCAGAACAAGTGGGTGAGCCTTTTAACTGAGAGCCAGTTTCTTCCCATTTTAAATTGATGGATGTTGGAAATTTTACTCTGTGCCGAAAGTGATAGCTTCATGGAGTGACGTTGTTGTGCCATGTGAATTTAATAAATTGATCTATTTAAAGCTATGTAATTGGCAGTGCAATGCAAACTCAATGACACTTTGTAGCAGTTCTGGAATTGGCAGACGCCTCTTGTGTCCGCACAGCTGCCCTTGTTCTGGCACAAACCCCATTATGCTAGTTTATCTTGTATCTTTCAGCACCACTGGCTCTGTCAACACAGCCTGGCTGAGATTGGCCAGCAGATGAACCAAAAAAGAGGCAGAAAAGGGGAGGAGCAGAGGAGCAGTTGAATTACACTAGATCTAAACCTTCTCATGCCAGTTTCACAGCCACGATGCTGAGTTAGACCAGGGGAATGGTATTCCTTAATAATTTCCAACTTCCATAGGCTGGGAAAATTTTGGATTTACTAGCCACAATGCTGATATAAAGTTAGACCAGGAGAAGGGTATTCCTCAATAATTTCCAATTTCCATAGGCTGGGAAAATTTTGGATTTACCACAGTTCTAGCTGACCTCGTGTTAGCTCAGCCAAACCTAGCCCAACTTGGCTAGTTAGGATTGCACCCTAACTACACTTTATTTGGTGGGTTAGCTATAATACTGTTAGAAATGTGCTCTTCTGTGGCTTTCAATATATCCTTACAAAAGGGTGGGTTCCTGCAGATTCTAATGAACAAACATATCATCTTAAAATAACAAGTGATCGCGCTGTCTTGCTTATCCTCATTGATTCAAGAACAGTTTTTATAGTGCACTCCAGCTTTATAAAATAGTGGATAGAGTTTTGATTAGGGACATGGGAAATGCCAGCTGAAGCCCTCACAAAACTCTTTGGGGGAACTGTTGGTCAGCCATTTTTCATAGCCTGACCTACCTCATAGCCTTGTTGTTGCTGTGAGGATAAAGTGGGAAAGAGGAAAGCTCCTTTAAGTTGTCTTGAATTCATTGGGCGAATGGCATAATTAAACTGAATAACTTTTCATTGGAAAATGAAACTGATTATCCTTCTCTAACACTGAGATTCCTGCCATTCCCGTGGGCTCTCCTGGCACTTTGCTTATCAGCAGCAGCCATGGAGTGGAACTAAATGAAAAGCGAAAATGTAGAAAGCAAGCCACTGGTATGGATTCAGTTAACAGTGATTAAATGGAATAGCTTTCTCTCCTAGCCACTCTTCAGAGCAGAAGAAGTGGTTTGGTAGACTCTGGTGGTGGTGGTTGCTGATGGTGTGTGTGTGTGTCCTATCTATCTAGCTATAGTTATAGCTATGTATTCAGTAGTATCAGGCAAGGCAAGAATTCAGTCTCATTTCAGTCCCATTTCTGGGCATGCTGTACAACTTTTCCCCAGGTAAATCACTTGGATTGTCCAGCCCTGCTTCCCTTTCCTAGCTACCTTCTCCTTTGCAGACCAGATATTTTCACATTCTATAAAAGAAGACTGCAGAATCCATATACTTGACTTTATAATTGGACCATCTACGTAGATGCTACGGATTCATTGGAAGTAAAATCCCTCTCAGGTAGTCTGCATAAAGCCTTTTTACATGTGCTGTGTAGTTCTTAATATTATTATTTATTCTCCATAAGTTTACCTACAAAGCCACAATGTAAGTTAATAACAGTTCTGAATATTTATTGTGTGCCAAATAAGAAAATATGCACGAATTTCTAAGAAAGGCCTGTGCAGAACTGTCCCATTTATGAAGAATTCTTAACCCTTAAATAGCCTTTGAAGGAGAAACTCTTCGATAGATTACATCTGAAAGAAACTACCCCCAGATCCTGGAGATGTGTGAAGGTTTGGCAGTATATTGTCCTTGGGGATGTTAAGTACTTTAAAGCATCCTGGCTATTTCCTGTAATTACAACCTCACTTTCTGTTTTGCTCCTTGGCTCAACTGTTTCCATGCTACCTACTTATCTAGGTTGCTACTGTTCTGCCACGTCCATCAAGCTTCCTTTTTTCTCCTCACACAGCAAGAAGCCAAGTTCATTTTTCCTTCCTTTGGATCAGATTGATCTTGGGCGAGTGCAAATATTCTGTAGACCGTGATGTTTCAGAACAGTACAAGAAGCATGTGTAAGAAACATGGTGACACTTCTACTCATAGTGAGAATGGGTCAATACAGATCCTTCAACCTTTGTTGCTCATATTATTTGAAAGTCTAAGAGGAACCCAGTATGTGACCTGATTTTTTTTTTAATGTGAAGCATCATTAAGGGCAGAACAAGAATAAAACACTGTACAGAAACTATGGAGGCCACAACTAAGATAATTGCTTTTATTCAGTGCTCTGAAACTTGTGCATTCTCTCTCTCATCATCACTGCACTCCTTGTTTATTTTAATATTTTTTAAAAAATATACCCAAACAGAGCAAGCTTGGATATGAACAAAAAAATGTAATTTTTTTCAGCCTGCAATTATTCTTATTAGAAGCACAAATTTCCAAACTTAAAATGTAAAGTCTACTACAATATAATCATGATATTATTAACTAAAGAGTTCAGGTAAGTTTCCAGCATGGTACAGTAGACAGAATGAGGGACTAGGATGCTGGAGAACAGAGTTTGAATTCCCATTCAGCTGTGAAAACTCTCTGCAGGTGCAGAACTGGCAAAACCATTCCTAAAATATTTCACTTTCCTTGAACACCCTGTTAGGGTTTCTAATAAGTTAGTTCCAGTTTGACAGCACAGAATACAAGAAATTTGGGATATTTTAAGAAGATTAGACAAAAACATCCTCTTTGGTGTGCTGTGCTAATACAAGGGGTTTGAAATCAGTAAGAAATCATTGCTAGAGCAGTTGAGTGTAGGCTGTAAAATGTGCTAGCTAAGTTTTAGATATGGTGCCTTCTGCCCTGGAATTTACTGAAACGCCCTCTGTGTGTGCATGTGTGCATGTGTACGTGCATGTGCATGTGCTCTCTCTCTCTCTCTCTCTCTCTCTCTCTCTCTCACACACACACACACACACACACACACACACACACACATGTCTGTATGTGCTGTCAAGTTAATTCTGACTTAGGGTGACCCTTTCCAGGGTTTTCCCAGCAGAGAATACTCAGAAGCGGTTTGCCCAAGGCCACACAGGCTGGCTGTACTTGCAGGAGGCACAATGCCCTTCTTCTAGAGGGTTCCTTGGACTGGGCAGCTTGCCCAAGGCCACACAGGCTGGCTGTACTTGCAGGAGGCACAATGGGGGATGGAATTCTCTGCCTCTAGCTCAGCAGCCAGATACCTAAACCACTGAGCAAGGACACTTCAAAAGAATGTATTAAAAATTATGATTATTGTACTTGCATATAGGTAAGAAGAAGAAGATCAGTACTGAATTCAATAGAAATGCTCTGGAGTAAGTGATTTTGGAAAACATTTCTAATTCTTAACAGAAAAGGCAAGAGGGGTGTAAATGCCTGCACTTCAGTTATTAAGGAAGTGAGAAGTGATGGTGACACAGCTCTGAGTTAGGATTAAGCTTGTTCACACCATGCAACAAGGTCCTGCAGAGAGGAATCTGCACCTGGCACTTTCACAAATAACCTGCATCTGAGAGAACTAATAGCAACAAGAAAAACAATGAGTTCAATGAGTTGCAGCTAATATAAACACATGAACATTTGCTAGGAATGCATGCTGTACAAAAAAGATCTCCTTGGAATCAATAAGACCGTACCCTAAAATCATACACTGAAATAAGTACCTGTGTTGATGTAAAGCAGCTTTTACAGTATATCTAGAATTCTAGGTATACATACGATACCTGTGGTTTGCACTGTGACCATATATAGTACAGAGGAAAATAAAGTGCAGAAAATACTGGAAGTACTGGCAGTGACAAGAAACGGATATATCTGAAGGCCCAGCTCTCCCCTTCCCTCTGTTATCATAACTTGCCTTGAAAGAGTCTTTGAAACAGTGGTTTCTGAAAGAGGACAATTGAAGATGGACCCTCCCCCGACACACACAATGCAATTATGTGTCGTGCTCCACTTAATAAGCTATGGTGCAATATAAATGGATGCTGATTTTGCTAATCCAGTCCCCTTTCTTCTCGGGGACAGCCCCTTAGACCATGAAGCTTCATCCACGTGATAGCATGTTGAGGACCCCACACAGGAGACCTGGATGAATGGAGCAGTCTTAAGTGGAAAAATAAAAGGGAGGGGTGTTTCAGTAAACCCACATTGTAAGTAGTGCTATTAGTTGAATTTGGTGCCCTTTTGAGGGTCACCATAAAAGTGCAAAACAGCAGAGACTAATCTTGCTGTGAATGACCACAGTAGCACTAGGGTGTGTGCTTACTACTGCTTCTGGGTCACGGCTGCCAAACTAGCATTGTTACCATCAGACGTACTCAGCATGAGTTCATTACTCATCCTCCTATGTTCTCTGTTACTTCAAAAACCTTGGGTGCTGCAACAAGAGCAGTGTGCAGCAGCTAGACGCAGAACACACAGGACACCGGTTCAGAAAGATTTGCATTGGCTGACAGTAGTCTTCTGGTCCGCATTCAAGATGTTGAGGATGACCTACAAAGCCCTAAATGGGAAGGAACACCTCTCAGTATATAAACCTGCCCGATCACTAATATCTCCTGGCACTGCAGGGGGCAAAACCTTCCTCTGTGCCCCATCTTTGGGAACAGTTCATTAGGTGG